CTGGCCGGGGGGGGACGCTCGTCCGGGCTCGGCTGCCCCCGGGGTTTGGCGGGTCTCCCCCCCCGTCGCTGCCGGCCCGGAGCCGGGTGGGTGGGCGTCCGCTGCCCGAGTGCTGACGGGGAACTTTCTGCCTCGGCTCCGCCCGGCCCCGGAGCGGGTCCGGAGCTTTCCCTGCCCGGCGCTGCCTCCCCGGTAGCCTGCTGCAGTGTCACAAGCCCAGGGGGACGGTTCTCGTCCTCCTCTGGGCCTCCCCGGCGCTCCGGGTCTGATCGTAAGGACGGGGGAGGGGGTCCTAGCTGAGTTTCAAGGCAGCAGGATTTCAGCTAACTTTCCGGATCTGCGTTTCACAAGCTGCGAAGGCTGTTTCTTGCGTTTCTGTAGCAGGCTGTGGGGCTCGTAGGTCGGACAAGGCGCACACCGAGTGGTTTTGTGTGTGCGTGTGTGTGTCTGGATTATGGTCGCCTTTCCCTATCTCGGCATAACACTCTGACTTTAAAACTTTAACTTGAGCTTTTTAATAAGGAAGCTGAGCTCCAGCTGCGCAAAAATGTTGAAAGATTGATGATGCTCGGTACATCTCTGGCCGTAAGGGAAAGGCAAATTGCAATTTGAAGTGGGAGTTTATTATATTTATTTTTACGCTATCGAGTTGAGTTTGCTCAGTCAGAGGAGAAATTCAGAGAGTTAAAAGAGAAGCTGATAAACGTTTGCAGTACTGGAAAGACCTGCTGTTATAGCAGCTGATCATCACAGCACAGTACTAATTCCTTTAATATTCTCTGAAATAAATCAGTTTGTTTAGCACAGGGCAGTCTAATGACACTCTGAAATAATTTTCTGTAATTTGCTGAGTCTGAAGTAACACTCAGAGCACAACTTACCGACAAATACTTGGATATGCTAAAAGATCTGGAGGAAACAGGTAAAACTGAGAGAAGAATTTCAGGGGAGAAAAAAAATCTGCTATCACAATAATTGAATAAGGAATTTTCTGACATTCAGTTCACTTGTATCCAAAGATATTTGCATCCGTTCTGGCTTTTCACTCACTTAAAAGTATTCAAATTAAAGTGATTCATGCAATGTTTGATAAGGATTCTTTAAAGCTAGGCAAATTTAATTGTTTTGTTCATATAGGCAGATTTAATTGCTTTGTTCATATAAGCAGTAATTTTTGTGACAGACACCTGTGATTTTCTGTAATTTTCAATTTACCAGGGGATCAATCACATATTTGTATATCAGGTGATGATTCCAAAAATGTCTACTTAAATCAGTGCTCACTTTGAATACTAACTTACTGGAAATGCATATGGAGACTTTAGCCTCAGCTACGTGGATAACAGCTTTTCAGATTTCTTTCAGAAGCTACCTGCTTTTTTTCCATCAGCCTTGGGCAAAAAGAGTACCTAGCGTCTGTTTGAGAGCTTTTTTAAAATATGGTGTGCTCAGTAAAAATTTATCACCTCTAACTAAAGATAAAAAAAAATTAAAATCTATATTTATTTCTACGTGTTTTGCTTAAACCATTATTATACAACAGCCTTCCGGTATTGTTGCAAACCTGCTCAATTACACAGAGCAGCAGTCCCTAACCTTCGCCAGCCAATGTGCAGCAACAGTCAGCAATTATACTGCAGGCAGCATCTTCCTATTTGCCTCAATTTTAACATTTTTATTTTTCGCAGCTGCAGCCAGTCTCAGAGGGTCTAGCAGGCAACATGTTATCCATAAGCCCTGACTTGGAAACCACTTCTGTAGGGTAGCAATGGCAGGAATTTATTAATTACCTTTTCCTCTATTTCTTTGATGAAAATACATATATTGTCCCAGTGCACTGGCTGTCCATGTAGTTTGTCTAGCTGGTCCTTGGATGTGATGGTATGGGCTGTAAGAAGACAGCGTACATGGCCTCCAAAAAGAAGTAATACGATTCACAGTCAGAGGGTGATAGCTTGACCAAAACCAGCTTGATTTACGTAGTGAGTTTCATTGACTTAGCAATGGCAAAATGGCATTAAAAAGCCCCAACAGCTGATCCATTCACTTTCCAGCCACTAGTGGTCTAAACATAGGGGTGTGAAGAAAACCTATACTGAAAGACAGCAGCATCTTCTTAGCAGAATTAGGCAAAAGATGAAGGTAGGTATCCTTGTTATAACTTTTTTTTCCCCTCCCCCTGTGTGAAGGTGATGTGCATTAGCCAGACCGAGCAACTTCCTCTTAGGCCAGCCAAAAGAGCTGTCTAAAAACGTGTACAACTTTGTTACAGCTGAGAAAAGTGCAGCTAGAAAACATACGTGATTAGCTTTTGTACAGGAATGAAAGCATTTCCCCGTGCTTATAGAAGTTTTGCAATAAAGTGTCTACTTGCCTAAACCCAATGGATACGGATGATTTTACAGCACGTTTGGTTTGAGCCATTCGTGTACGTTGGCTCTGTTACAGGAGGGGGGGGGCTGTACAGGTGCAGTAGTTATTGGAAAAATCAAACCCTAATTGAGGGAGGGAGGGAGCTGAGGGGCTGCTGAGCCTGATACCAGGGTTTGTCTACAAGCTCAGCCTCCCGGCACCCCTCAGTCCCAGCACCGAGCCTCCGGATCCCTGGAGGTCCACTTCTTTCGTGCCTGACATTTGCTGCAGGTGGCCGTGCGGTTCCCCACCGCCTGAGTATTTGTGTGTGACTCAGACCGGGAGGACAGGAGGGGACTGGATGCTTGTGGTATGCACAGCATCTTTATTTTTCATGTAACTCGCCCTATTAGGGGGAGTACTGTACAGTGCTCAGAGCATAAGTTTAAGGGCTAATGAGTTCTGGGTTTAACGCGCTGGTCTGCTGGATTTAAAGGGTGACATGGGTGAGTCAGATTTTAAAGGTTTTCAGGAAACTAAAAATGTAAATTAGGCATTTGGTGAAAAATCTTCAATTAGTTCAGTAAGAGCTGTATGTCAGAGCACCCTTGAAAATCCCAACAGGCATCCTTAAGCATTTAGATACCTTAATAAGCTGGGTCTTTTTCTGTTCCATTGCTCCATTCCCTATTTGTAAAAAGTTGATAATATTTTATATTATCATAGAAGGGGTTTATGAGGGTAAACTGCTAAGTCTGAGCACACCAAGTATGTAATACATTTGTAAGGGAGAGTCATATGGACCTCTTGGAGATATTCAGGTGAAAACCGTGTTAGTCATATGGGCATTTGAAAACAATCCTAAGATCACATAGTATCACCCCATGACACCAGATAAAGCAAATATCGTAGATGAGAAATGGAAGTTGCTCGACTAGAAAAATTATAGTAATGCATAAGAAAACCAAAACCACCAAAAAACCCAAACACAAAAACCCATGAAAGCAGAAAATCTCTAATGGAGAGACTGACCAATAAAAGAGGCATTAAGACCAGAAAAAGTCGCGTGTCCTTGTGGACCATTTCTGTAATAGATTTACCGTACAACTTCTTAATTGAAAAACTTGGTGTGGCATGAATCAAGGCTGCCAGAAAGCGTGTATATGTTTTTGTACATGTGACTGGACTTTTTAAAGGATGGACACTTTGGGGGGGAGTGGGAATCAAGAGGAAGAGTTACATGGTTTTGATTTAGGATAGTTTAGAGTTTGGCATAGAAGAGAGGAAGAAAGACTTTTGGTGGCTGGAGCTAGTGCCCTGTTCTCAATCTACCAGGTACGTGACTGTGCATTACGCTTCCATTGTAGCTGATTTGACTGCTTTAGAGCTACAGTTCAAAATCAACTGTAAAGCTTCTGCCACTAGTTGTTGTAGTTCTTGGTTGTAGGTGATGCTGGGTCTTTGGGGGATTTTTGTTGTTGTTCTGTAGGGAATCTTTGTTTTTAAAAAAACGGCTTCCCAGAGATGGCAGTGGTAGGATGCCATTGCTCTTCGTAGACCTGATGAATTTCTGTACTGCCTGTTGTTGTAGTGTTTTGACAACTTTGCAGCACCTTGTGCTGCCTGCATACCTTCCAGTTACTGCTAGATATAGCAATAAAGTGCTTAATGCATAGTTACATGTTTGCTGGCATTTGCTGAATATCAGTAAAATTAAGTTATATAAAAGAAGAGTATAAAAGAGTTGCACACCGAGACTGCCTTACACAAAACTTCATCTCCTTAGCAGATTCTACAGATTGAATTTTTTTCCTTTAATTAAAAAGTATGCAAAACTTGGAATAAAAAGTTTTTAAAAAGTCAGAGAAAGCTGTTACGAACCTGAGGACTGGATAAATATGGAGGTAAGGGATATAAAAAAAGCCTACTCCATTAATTGTAATGAATTTTCATTAATTTTGTAGCGGAAAAATGAATAGAAATAAAAAGTAAAGTTTGCTCTCCTTTTCCGTTGGATTGCACATCTTAAGGATGAGCGAGTAAGGTCTTAAAATGTTCTTAATTATGCGCTTTAAAACTCACTAATAGAGGCTAAAACAAAATACATTGTGAATATTGTGAGTATAGCGATGGACGTTAGGCATAAAGTATGCTACAGGTCATAAATATGAGATCAATATTGTACAGTGACAGAAAGTCAGATTTTAGTACTTGATGGAGGTAAAGGTAGTTGACAATCAAGAAACTAAAAAATGCAGGCATGGAAATGTGATGGATATTGAAGACACAATGTATGAGAACGTGCAGTTATGGTCTTGCAGTAGAATTTAAGAATCTTATTAATCAGTACTCTGTTTTTTCATGTATACTTTCAACTTCAGGAAAGGGAAAAGCACAAAGAAACAAAAAGGCCTAAGTGGCTTCAACGTGGCCTCCCAGCCCACCAGTGGAATGTGAGAGCCGAGGTTTTCTGCGGACAGTATCATTCCAATAGACTGGTCATTCCCTAGGAAGCTAATACTTGCAATTAAATAGTATCCTAGCA